GTTGCGTATTATAAATTACAGAGTGCATAGATGATTAGTGTTGCGTATCCCCTAAAGCGCCCTAACGTGGCTGCTCTCGCGTTTAACGGTAACTTTTTTTATCTTTTTTTTTTCGTAAATTAAGATTGCAAGTAAACTGAAGCACTCACCGCGTTTGATTCTGAGACTTTTTTTTATTTCATACATTTAATAGATCAGTGTTGCGTGAAAGAATGAATTATTCCACTCACGGTTTTTGCTCGGGTTTAGAACGAGTGGATTATGAAATCTACCGAGTGTTTGTCATAAAATACTGTTGAATTGTATTCATTGAATTTCTGTAACAGATATTTATTAATATTTACGATATTACATAATATCGATGATGATTTATTTTTAAAGACGTAATAATGACTTTGAGATGATGAGAATTTCGAATTGAATCGGAATATATCAGAGGAAGAATTAATAATGAATGAAAGTACAAGTAGAAGCTCGGTGAATTCTTAAAAAGAAAAGAAAAATAAGAATTAATTGTTATTAGAGTTAATTTACTTTTCTCGCTACGTAAGATTCATCTGTCGGTAATATTTGCAATTTTTATAAATTTTCGAAATAGCTTTGCACGAATTAAAGTACACCCGCGATTATATTTTTCATATTCCGTGTGTGACATAAAAAGCTTGCAAAGAAACATTGTTACGTAGAAAGTAGTTGACTCGTAATATTCATAGTAAAATGTTTAATTACCGGTACGACGTCGCATACTCGTTGTTAATTGAAAAAATGATAATTGTAGTAAATTGTGCGATTGTTTCGGTTTTAAATTCCTAATGAAGAGTAAATTTGGAACATCTCTCCACGTTTTCTTCGGTGAAAGTAATAACTTGTAAACTAATTGTGCACAATTTTAGTCTATTTTTCTTTCATCTTGGTATTCCGTATAGAAATTTTCAATTCAATTAACAAAGATTCTTCCTTTGTGAAATTCTAATATCTCTCGAAATAATTTGTTATTAACGTGTACCAAGTAATTGCTAACAATGAAAAGTACCTTTCACTTTTTGTAATATCACTTTTATTTCAACGAATACGTAAAAATATATGTACGATGTGTGCACAATGTTTTTTTTTTCAGCTGTTAAACCTTCATTTTTAATTATTCTTACTGAGGCTTTCGGATGTAAGCTGTGTCCTTATGGAAACAGTACTCCATTCCCCAGTAATAATAGTTATTAATATTTTATACGTATGTGTGCATAATACGTTTTCTTTCAGCTGTTAAACTTTCATTTTTGCCTTTATTAATCCAACAAAAAACGAGTTTGTTACAGATTCGCTTTACCAAAATCTGAGGAAATTGTTAGAAGAAAAGAAGTAAATGATGCCCTTACTGTAATTTGTAAAATCTAACTACTAAATTTGTTTCAATTTGAGTTTGTTGCAGGTGACAGAGAAGCATACGAGCGATTCATCGTAATTCTTTAGATTTTTAGGATAGGCAGGGTACAATATAGATTTCTATTTAGGGAGGTTGTTTTCTAAACGAACGTGGAATTTTAATTAGCCACGTTATTTTCCACATACAGTTGAATTCTTGATTAAACAGGCAGTTTTTAAGTTAAGTTAAATTTTGAGTGAGGCAGGTCATTTTCCACATACAGTTAAATTCTTGATTAAACAGGCAGTTTTTAAGTTAAGTTACATCTTTAGCAAGGCAGGGCATTTTCCACATACAGTTAAATTCTTAATTAAACAGGCAGTCTTAAAGTTAAGTTAAATCTTCAGCGTGGCAGGGCATTTTCCACATTAAGTTAAATTCTTGATTAAACAGGCAGTTTTTAAGTTAAGTTACATCTTTAGCGAGGCAGGGCATTTTCCACATTAAGTTAAATTCTTGATTAAACAGGCAGTTTTTAAGTTAAGTTACATCTTTAGCGAGGCAGGGCATTTTCAACATTAAATTACATTCTTACTTAGGTAAGCGATCCTTAATTTAAGTTAAATCTTTAGACAGGTAGGCGAATCTTAATTTAAGTTAAATCATTAGACAGGTAGGCGAATCTTAATTTAAGTTAAATCATTAGACAGGTAGGCGAATCTTAATTTAAGTTAAATCATTAGACAGGTAGGCGAATCTTAATTTAAGTTAAATCATTAGACAGGTAGGCGATTCTTAATTTAAGTTAAATTTTTAGACAGGTAGGCGAATCTTAATTTAAGTTAAATCATTAGACAGGTAGGCGATTCTTAATTTAAGTTAAATTTTTAGACAGGTAGGCGAATCTTAATTTAAGTTAACTCATTAGACAGGTAGGCGATTTTTAAGTTAAGTAAGAATTCTAATTAAGCAGGATAATATTTAAGACTTTAGCATTTAAGTAGGCAAGTTGTTAACGAAAATCAGTGTTCGAGTTACATGGTTTTTAAGACGGTGGCTCTTAGCTTGTAAGCATTGTAATTCTTTTCCTTTCGTTAGTTTCCTGTAAACAATTTTGAACAGAAACGCTTGATTTTTTCCCAAGATCAGTCCCTTAAGTTGACGTGTTTCTCTGTGGGACGTATTTGTTCGTATTTTCTTCTTTTGTGTTTCGAATATTTCACGAGTCAGATTCTTACTTTACATATTCTTGTGTAGTGATAAGAATACAGAGTAATGGTATATGTGTAAATTAATATCTCGTATAGAATTAAGGCTTTCATCAGTCCTAGTTTGTCAGGTTTAAGTTAACTCCTAGTTTAAGTGAAGTGTGAATGAACTTATACTATAAGCTAGGCGTAAGATAAGTTAAGCTAAACTTAAAGTACTTTAAGTTTAAAATAGGATACTTTAAAAACGTTTTTTTTTTGTATTTTTTTTCTTTTTCTTCTCGTCGACTTTTTTTTTTTAATTAAAATTCTTTCAGTCTCCTGCTATTGTCCGTCTGCATAACGATCGAAAATTCGAAAGTATTGCAGATGTACAATCAGTAGGAGGCGTTGCGTTGCATTAACGAGTAGAAAATAAATAGTAGGCGCGTAAAAGGAGGGTGGATGGGACCGTGTGGTTAGGGCGGGCCTCCATTGGCAGCAACCTCCACGTGGTGAGGCCTGGGCAATCGATATTATTTGATATATAATTGCGATTGTATAGCAAATAATTCGAGCAAATTGGCTGCCATATTAAAAGATCGTAGTTTAGTCGAATAAGTATCGATACTTAACGTTAGATTCACATTGTACTTAAGGTGAATTATAGTAAATGTAGTAATAGGTGAACAGGTCGTCGATAGTTCTATCCACGTAATTTAATACACGTATGTATCTTTATATGCAAATTTAATAAAGGAGGATTTTTTTACATGTGTCGATTTTATCATCTTTGATGGTTGGATTGTATATTATTCCTAAATTCACTGCTTTATATCGTAGAGGGCATAACCTAACCTCTGACTTCTTAGACGTTGGGTATTACAAAACCGTATCGTTCCCGACGTGCCGTACTAAAATTGTTAATAACTAATTATTGAAAGGGTTTAGTGCGTTAATATCTGCATGAGAAAGTTGCTGAAGTTCTATACTTTATTCTCCAATTCTAAAAGTTCACTAAATCATCGTAATTATTGAGTTATTAATGAAATTGACGGCAGTGCGTTACGCTTGAATACGACGAGTGTAGTATTTACGCAAATAATGTTTAATATCTCGCAAATTACGACGAATATGTTAATGAAAATGAAACGAGAAGCTAGCTGAAGGATTAGTCTTTCGAACGTGTGTATAAAAGTGCATAAATTATTTGTTCAAGCTACGAAATTAATGAAAAACCAGAAGGGCGTGCGGTGAAGCTGCCGACATTCCGCACCATGATTGTTAATAACTAATTATCGAAAGGATCCTAGTGTATTGAAAACTATATGTGAAAGTAGCTGAGGGTCCATACTTCATTCTTCAATCGTAAAAGTTCACAAAATCATGCAAATTAATGAGTTATTAATGAGTTTTCACCGACCGACGCGATTTAGGGCCTCGAAGACAGAGCATGGCGGCCGACGGACCAATAGGAAGCGTTCTCTCTCTGTCCTTCTCGCACACTATTGCTTTCCTTGTTTAATACCTCTGGTTATATTCTGTGTTCCTAGTAAAAAATCTTAGTTAGCGTCGCCAAACACGAGATGTCGTTAGTTTCGATTTTCAAATTTTCTATCCTTGTCTATACCTGTATCTTTCCTTGTCTCTCTCATTACTCGGGTGCTACCCTTGTTTCCCCCTGTTTCTTTCCTTGTCTAACTCGTTTCTCTTGTGATATCCTCGTCCTTTCATTGTCTTACTGATTTCGATATTGCTAAATACCTCGATGGTACATCACGATCTTCCACAAAAATGAATTACATATAAATCAGCCAAATAATTCTACATTATTCACTCAAATTCCCTACTAATTTTTGTATAATAGCAGACGAGTTTCTATACCCCGTCTGTGGTATAACGATCTCTAAATGCCATATGAAAATTGTTTTCGCGTAAACAAACAAAGTATATCAGTTCTGCGTAAATCATCGTAAATTTTAATTTTCAGTTTTCTTTAAATTTTAATTTTTTTAAATTTACGATCTTTTCAACTGACATTTTGTGACATTAGGATAAGGATATCAAGAGAGTGCGAGTAAAGTACAAAAAACTGTTACGTTTTTATTTTATTTCATAAAATTTCACCATAGGTGGCTAACATATGAGCCAGCTATAAAAAGTGTATATACCGTAATAATAATAATAAAAGTTTTTTCTAAATGTAAAGGTTAAAATTCGACTGCTAGGAATTGACAGGAAATCGTCTTCGTCTTTTCTTTAAAAGCCTTAAAAAAGTTTAAAAAAGATATATTAGTTTTAAGTAAAATGTTAATATCGTTAATTAGGTCCAAACCCATCTTGGTGTAACACTTTTGAAATGAAAAGTGTTTGGGTGTCCTATGTGCGAAATATTGGGAAAACTATCAGACCATGTGAACGGTGTTCGCGACTGCGACGTGGATGGTCCAGAAATGACTTCGAGGCTCTCGAAACCATCTACGTCGATCGCTAAAACCTTCGTGTCTATAACACCATACGGTACAGGAACATCATCGAGATCTCCGCGATACGTCAATTCCTGCAACGAATCTGTATTGAAATTTTGTGTGTCGGCAGTGCAATCTTCCTGGCTGCATCCACGCATCATGTCTTGAAACTGTTCGAACGTGGTGATATTCTCTTGTGTACGTGTTAAACGAGTTTTCCATACGTCTACGTCCCTCTTGGCTGGCTGCACAATGTCGTTGATGTTCTGAAAGTTTGATATACCAACGTAGGATACGAAACCGGTTCTCTTGAACTTCTCCGTGTAATTCATCGCAACGGATATGCTAGGTAATTGTTCCACTAACAATATCGAAGTGGAACGCGGCTCTAAGATGATCCATTGCAGAGCAGAAGCGCCACCATTCTGACGGGACATGGTGTTAAACCAAGACTGACTGTTTGTTGCTAAACGATTCGCTGCCATTAATCTTACAGTTAGCATCACCTGTAATATTGTTATCGTTTTAGTATATGTATGTCTTTTTGGTAGATCTATGTACAGTTGCGATCCATTAATTTCTGGCCACTTTTAGAACAGAGTAGCTTTTTCGAAATTGAACCAAATGACTTGAAATTTTCAGCGTGTTTGTAATTGACATAGATCTACAAAACGTATGTTTGAAATTTTCAACAACAAGCTCTGATAAAAATGTTGTAAACAGTGACCTGTGCAATTTCCATCGCGACTCCCACAAATTGCAATTCTTTCAAAATTTTCGGTACACGTCATCTAGTAAACTAATTCTTCTAACTTCTAAAACAAAACTCGAGTCATTTGGTTCAATTTGAAAAAAAGTTACACTGTTCTAAAAGTGGCCGGAAATTAATGACCGCAACTGTACATGTACATCAATGTAACAATTGATTCGTACATGATCTTTTGGGTATAAAAAGCTCCATTCACTTCGATTCGTCGCTAGTAGAGGTGTTCCGGTAACAACAAGTTGATTATAGTCCCCAGACATAAAATAGAATTCATCTCGAGACGACAGTGCTCCGGGATAAGAGGACATCACGATCGATCGACTGGGAGTTGGAGCGGCGATTTTTGTCACTGGCAATACATGGTAGTTGAACGTGTATTTTTTTAAAAGTCTCAACATTTGAGTATATCTGTAAAATAAAAAGGAAAAATATTCTTTATAATTTGTCTGTATTAATTCTTACGAATTGACAAAGTGTTCAGTATCCTCGGTGTTAGGGTGCATTGATTAGACAATTATACCCACGTTTATTATGGTTATCCTTGCCGCTTAGAAATGCAGAGCTTATGTCAGTTTGCACTGGAATTTGTTGCAAGAAATTGAATAATATTAGAAATAAATAAGTATATTTTACTTACGACGCAGCGGTATTATGACCAATTGCAATTAAGGGTTCCGAATTCTCTCTTGGAAGCGATTTGAGATAGATCATGGAGCTCATTACTGGAGCGGATATATTAAATACTTCTTGAAAACCAGACAAGTCAGAAGCCAAAGCGAGCCAGAGGAAATCTTCTGATTCCAATGACACCGATACACGGCTTCTACGTACAGCAAATTTCCAACCAGCTTCCAAGCCATCTAATTGAGCGTAAAATAATCGTACCTGAGGAAAAGATTACCTTTAATTACTTTTTACATTTATTATATTCGATTAGCTTTTTTTTTTTTTTCGTAATTAGCGAAACGATGATTTATCATTAGGTTCATAATATGATTATGCACCATATGCCAGAAGGGATCAGTAGATTCCATCAATTCAGCACGTTCACGAACTACAGCAGTGTTGTCTCGAAGATATCGCGTTAACTTTCGGCACTCGGCAGGTTTCTCTTCGCATTCTGGCCTTATAGTGTTGTACCAATGATGATGAATCAATTGCCAAGTAAGGCTGCCTTCCAACAGTCCGGCAGCGTAAGCTTGTACGGTGTCCGGGTATTTTGACGATGTTTCTATTTCGATATAAGACCATCTGCAAAATTTATTTATTCGTTAAATAATTCCTACCTTTCGATAGAAAAATACGTATAATTATGTATAACATAGAAATACTGCTATATAAATTTTTAAGACAACGAGAAGAGGGCAACGTTTCGTTAAAAAAACAAATTGTTAATTTTTCTATTTACGAATTTTCTCGGGTTTATTTACGATGTTAACTTGATAAACTAATCTTATCTAACAAGCGACAGTAATGAACTTAACGTAACTGGTGCGACAGCATTGACCTACCCGTGCTCGAAAATTCCAGTTTTGTAATAGGCTCGAGCTGCATGCAATGGTACGGCTGTTAGATCATTGCCTTGGCCCCAAAAGTCAATGCGGTATCCTCCTTTGCGGTTCCATGATACCGTGGCTGAATAAGTTCCATCTTGTTCGACACTGGTCAACACATAGTTCGTACAATTAGGAGAACAATTACTTTTATGCATTTGTGGGTATTGATAGTATAAAATGTTGGACTTGCAATCATTCGTAAGTTAATTGGTTAGATGTTTACTCGAGTGTTGAAAAGTTCTGAGTCAACAATCGCTTTATTCTAAAATAGTGATTTGTTTTCCAAACTCTATTTTCTAATTTCCGTACTTCAGACTAGATATTTCTTATTTCGACTAAATTTGTTAGCAAATTCTTTAAATTATTAAAATGATATTCCTTTTTTGAAGGTTAACCCCTTGTCGTATAACGAGTCAGACTCGTACCACAAATTTTGATCAAGAGTTGATAAAAACAGTTATATCAATAGGAAGAATTAATTTTGATTCTAATTTTTCGTTTAATTTATAAAACTGAAGATTGCCAAATTTAAATATAGTATTACATAAAACAGTAAATAGTTGACGCTTAGATGCATAGTCAGGAAAATAAATCATACGTCAAGGGGTTAAAGGATTCTTTAAGAATGTCCAATTTTTGGCGCGAATTGCAGAACTGCGCAGCTAACTTCAGACCGTTCGCCGGTCAAATTGTTCCGATTGTTTACACGGACAACAGGCGATAATGACTAATGCAAACAGCAATGACAGCTATGTCTGGAGGAGAAACAAGTCTCATTATCTACTCGACGAAATTATGTCTGGCCGTTTGTGCACGTGGTGAACAAGATAAGCTGCGTGTCGAGTGCACGGAGGCATTCACACCTCTGAAACATACCGACCGAGCCGCAACAGCGTGAAGCGTGAATTCGAGAAGCCAGACGTCGCGTTACTCGATCCTTCGTAGCGACCGCGCACGCATCGAGCTCGTTATACCGCTGAAACGCTAATGCTTCTGATTTCTTCTTGCTGCACGCGTTGTACACGTGTCAACGGCGGCAAAAGTTACATATACGCGCGTTTCGCGAGAAGCGTGAACACACTTGTTTCTCGATACGAGATTTACGGAACACACACGCTGGACATCGAAATCGTATTGTAGAAAACGACTTGTTGCATGCTTCTCGTCGAACGTTTCGGACCGTGTTTACTTAATCGTCGATCACTAACCTTTAAGTAATTTTTAATTGCTTATTTTTAAATGCTTAACAATGAAGCAATGAAAATAGAAAAATAGAGATTTTAATAATGATAAATCTATTATAGTTTAAAGAGAAGGTTAGTATTTAAGGGTTAACACTAGTTTGGTATAACTACGTAATTCATTAATAAATTTCAATACTGTAAAGTTTCTTAAACTGGCTGAAATTTTATATTCTTTATAATTTACTTTCTTTTAGATTTGCATACAGGGTGTCTCTGTAATCTATATGAGAAAATAACGTTTAATATCGATTTATTCGAAAGTGGAGCTTCATACGAGAAAATGTTACTGTACATTTTTGACTTATTTTGTGATGTAGATTCATCTCTTTTCGAGTTGTACTAATAATTTCAGAAAGATAATACATAGTAGAAAGGATATATTTATGATAAAAATATTTACTTGTCTTTTTTTTATTCCTACTATATACGAATGAATGAACTTACTGTCCAAATTCACCGAGAATTATGGCTCCAATTCCCAGCAAAGCTACGGCGACGAGGATGTAAGTGGAGATGCGTGTCTGCAGCCAGGAGGCTCCTACTACCTTCAGCATGGCTCATCGGTGAGCTATACACCTTGGTTACAAGAAGAGAAGAAAGCTGAAAAGCACGAATTTCGCGTTCTCAACCCATCGATTACAGAAGCTTGATCTTCAGCCTCGTCAGGCGCTTTAATAGCTGCCGATACGCGCTTGTCCCGTGGTCACTGGAACAATCAGATAAATCATTTCCATTTTAATCAAATCACACTGTTCAACTTAGAACTCACGAGTTTTTTCTTGTGAGTCATTGGAACTCTACCTAGAACAGAATTATTTGTACAATAAGTTCAATTGACATTCTAATTGATGCAACATTTCAAAATTAATTTATTCTTCAGAAATAATAAGGGCAACATTTTTTTTACAGGCGTCAAATGAAAATTTTCATAGGACAATAAGACAATTAGAACAATCTTCACGACATTATCATTCGTTGCAAGTTCTTTAAACTTACATGCAAACCGACAATTTTGTTCCTTTGCAATATCATGAGGAAAAATGATATTTGAATTATATCATAGAACACGCACGTTCACATTTGTTATTCGACGCTTCTAGTTCAGTTACAGTACAACCTTCTTCGTGTAGATATTGTTACAAAACGGTCGCGATTCATGTTGGGTGAATTGTTTTAAAGAAATCAAGGACGGCGTCAATTGTGTATGCATCGATGAAAAATCAAGTCCGCTCGTGTAATAACCGGATAGTGTTTATCTTTTATAGCCTCACGTTTCGTCGTTTATTCGCTCCTTAATGCGGCTTGTTCTCAATCGACGACGTCTATCGTCTGCTGGCATAAAACAGGAACGAGACAAGGGTTAAGGCCGAATTCTCTTCGAGCACCGGTATCTGGCACTCGGTGATTACACGCGTGTATAAATCGGTAAACCTATAAACCGTAATGTTACTATTAATATCGAAAGGTACTTTAAGGAAAATTTCGACAAAGTACGAAACTTGTGTAACTTTCGTTGAATTGCAACGTTTCAAGTTTCTAAGATAAACTGTCTATTATTTCTGCTGTAATATTACACAGGTAATATCGGAATATTTTAATAAATATAACATTGGTGCATTGAGGAGATCTTCTTTTATTAAAAAATTCTTTTTTTAATGGTAATTGTTATATTACAGATACCTTTGTAACGACAAAGTATATTAAGTTGGTCTGGCTGTTGTCGTGATTGTCTCGATTTTCGACGTGCATTGTTCTTATATGGGGAATTTTTTAAACGAAAGATGACTATAAGAGATAATATTAGAAACATGCGAATGGTGGGCGAAGGTTAAGGCCAAATCTAATTTGCAACTTTTACTGTCGATATTTATAATTAGATACGTTTAGTCCCTTTAATTATCGTTTAACCACGTATATCTATACTAAGTTGCGCAGTTAGAAAACACTTATTTGTAAGTGTTAATGAGCAAACGTGTTATTAAGCATAATGCTAAGGTAACTAGGCATTGCATCATGGCATTCTAGCAAAATGCAAATGTTGCATATCTATACGTTAAATATTATGTGTAAAAATAGTGCTGACTTTCATTAAAAGGTAACTTCAAAACAGGTAAATTTTGCATGAAGAAATGATTTAATTACCTAAATTTAGAGGCTTGACCAAATATTCCTCTCAGACAATTATTTCTGCAGAAGATAAAATTGCACAAACTCGTAGCAAGAGATAGCAAAATTGCCGGAAGTGCTGGCCTGCATGAGGTCGTGTACATGCAATTGCAAAACTTCACATCTATTGTTTGAATAGTGTTTCTTAAAAAAGCAATGAAAAATAATAGTTTCTCTGTTCAGTTTCTCTTCCGGTTATTTAATTTCTTATTGATATTGATGGATTTTTAATTTTCATTCAGATTATCGATTCGAATTTCACTCGGCGAAGATTGGCACGGACATTTAGAAGAGAATCCACTAGGAACTGAGCCAATGCAAGCTTTTTCATTATCGTCAGAGGTGAACTTGCATCCAACACGTATATGTACCTATGTCGAAAAGTTTCTCCCCTTTAGCGGGGAATGATGCACTACATCCGCCATTGACGTGTGTAACGTGTTACACGAAAGCGTAAATACTTCCACCAGCGATGTTTAAAATGTCTCAAACGACGACAGATTGATTTAACGCTTTGACGAGACGGTCTCTCTCGCTTGAAACGCAATTTCTTCAATATTGTTTTGTTATACCTAGTGTGGCTCTAGAATCTGAATCGTAGCAGCGTTAGCTAAAAATCATTTCCAACGAACCGAGTTTATTCGGAATTTTTAAAAAATAACAAATTGGGCACTGATTAATTTTTGAAAGTTTAAAGGAAGCTGGGAACGTTCCAAAAATAATAATTATTTCGAATAAATAAGTTTCCTCTTCGAATGATTATTAAGAATGCTCAACGCTCGGCCATAGTGTATTTGTTTTTAGAGAGAAAAGGGAAATTCTAAACTGTGATTATTTCAAATTACTCAGTGGCTATCATTTGAATTATATCACATCACGTTTTTAATCGTTTAATACAGTATTGTAAACAAGATTTATATAAGCTTCTCTGAACATATCTTCGTATTTATTTGAAATTCTGAAATTTCGTGAAAATTAGTGCTAATCGTATTCTCGAAGGAAACGATATTGCGAAAAAAATGCTAATTAAAATACTAATCTCTGTCTTGGTAGAGAAGCTAAAATAGAGCGAGTATAATCTGTCTGGCGACAATCTAAAAATAATTCCTTACGAACTTGTAGTATCGCGAGCCATGTTAAAACGAATACACAATATATTTCATTCATTGTAACATAACTTCTCGCTAATAGTGAATGAAAGTTCGAAAGTAACACCGTGAAGAATCACACCGACGATACAGAAATAACAATAAATTCATTTCCACGCTTCCTACATCTATTGCTTCGAGAGGAATGTCTCGACCGTGAGTCACACAAGTGTGTTGTATCGTAATCGAATCGCAAGTATAGTAAGTACTGTATGCTCTTGTAGAACCGGAAAGCAGTAAGTTCTTTTCCATGGAACGGGGCGTGTCGTTCGAAGCAGAGTAGAAAAAAAAAGGAGAAAAAAAATCTATTCCAAATGCATAAAATTTCGAGTAAATAGTATAATCTATGGATAGAGTGTTCTATATGACAGTCTTTTCCGTTCATTAAGGATACATATTTCAGAATGAATACGCGTGCGCTATACATCATGCTTAACAATCCAATTAGCAAGTATAAATGCTGATACGTTTATAAATTTAAATTTAATCGGTCTAGTAACGCCGCTTGCGAACGATAGATATAAATTGACACGCTGGAAAACGCAAGAATCACCTTTTTATCTCGTGTCGTTTATAATTGTGCGAAATTATGACGTTCCTTCTGGAAGGTGGAAAAATTCAGAAAAGAACGATGTCAAGCTAAGTGCGGCGATAATTGTATCGTTAAACAATCTTCACAAATTTCACGACTAACGATAGTTCAAACATTTCTTGGTACTTTTCTGTTGAAAAAATTCATAAATGTATTTTAAGGCTAATTGCGAGTCATTGTTTGCTGAAGAGTTTCAGTAAATCGTTGACTTCATTTTTTTTTTTCTCTTTCTTAGGAGAGAATTAAACTAAGCGGAAATGCACCACGTGGACGTAGTTCGTTCGAAGTGAATCAATATGTATATATAGAGTCTACGATTCTTTCGACCTCCTTATCATTCGCCAATTATCAATCTGACTCACTACAGTACACTCTTATATTGGATATTAAGTTGCAGCTATTAAACGACCTGAATAAACATATGCAATATTGATTCTTTCAAAGCAAACATTGTAATTATTTTCTTTTTGCCACCCTATGTATCATCGTTGAATATTATCATCGAAAATATTTTTGGAGTAGACTGTGTTTTAATAACGGCGAAGAAAGCGACGGTTTGAAAAGTTGAACAATTGCACGCAATTATGCACTTTACATTTCGAGGAGTTTACAATGCGTAAAACAACGATAACAGAAACTTTTGCAGTATACTGATTCGTGACAGTATTCATACATCCCACTCGAAAAGTTACGAACAGAAAGTAAAACTTGTCACGTACATAAAATTGGAAAATAAAGTACAACAGAAAGTACGTTATCGAATAATCCTAATAATTATCAAGAACCCTTTGATCTTATCTTATCTACAGATTTCTCAGACTTGGTCAATTTTTAAGGCACCCGGTATTATAATATAATATAGTATTTAGCAATATTATTACTAAACGATCGAATAACAAAAAGCTGACAATGAATTTTCTCGAAATATACGAATAACGTACAAGCGAAGCACGTGTTTCTAGATTAGTCGAAGGAAAACGGAGTCGAATTCTTATTTCCAAGAACGTGCAATGTAAACTGATAATTGACCACGCATGGCATGAAAACGCGGTAAACGAGCTTACAACCACGTGAACAGACTCGCGACAGCATCTGTGCGTCTCACTTGGAAAGAAAATCGAAACGCGAAGAGAAATGAAACTAATATTCCACATAGAAAAATACCGTGTGAAAGAGGTGTAATTATCGAATATACGAATACTTCCATTAATCACGAACAGTATACATAACCGTTCGGTATATCGTCTCCGAATATTTCGATGCGGCGTGTGCGCGTGGGTTTATACTAGCTCGCTCGCTCACCCGTACACGTCTCTTTTTCCTCGTGAAAATGTATCGTTGGTCTCGTTTCACTCACCGTGGGCAATGGAGAGTCTCAATTGAAGCGCGTCGTACACGGGTAGAAAATCAGTCATTCGTACGGAGATTACATTCCTTTGGCGTGCTTTTCTGCCGCGACTTCACGACGTGGACCAGTTGCTCCGACACTGAAGTCCAAGCGTGAACACTCGCTGTTTCTCGACTGGCGCAGCCTGTCGCCAGAATTTCGAGTAGTCCACGTTCCCTTTCCACCTTACTTGCGCCAACCGGCGTCGACGGCCTTAGCTGTGTCGTCACCACTGCTGGGTCATGTCATCCCGGTGCCCTGCACACGCGCCGATACGCGTACGTTATCAAGACACACCGCTTGTTCAACTACCTCGCTGGTTCGCGCCTTTGAAACTTTGCCGCTACTCCTAAAAGTGATATAGGAATAGCACTGAATTTTTGCAATTCATTTGATGGAAGTATCGTTTACTCGTTTTACAGGGAAAATTATGAATAACACAGTATTTTTTATTATACGTAGCAGTTTTATTTTGTCCTTGTTATACATAGTTTTTGTAAAAAAGAAAGACGATGAAAATATTTTGTTTGATAAATGAAAGGTGAACGAGATTGTTTGAATTTGTTTGATTGTTTGAATCGAACGCTTGACAAAGCTTTTAGTTTTATGAACGCATCTTAGAGTGCACTATTTCTATACAGTACTGTGAGCGCTTGCGGTTGACTAATGCACAGATCTTTAGAAAGACACTCGTTGATACTTAATGAGTTTTAATTGGATCTAATTGAAAATTTTAACCGCTCAGCTGGTTGTAACTGACCGAATAAAGCATAGATGCACTCTTGTTAATTGTATTAGGAAAGGTGCTAATCTGTTGCAATTGATTCGGTTCGAATTGAAAACGTTTCGACGTTCTGCTATCAGGTGAACAGTAATTCATTACAAACGAACTGTTGAATAAAAAAGATTAATAGCTACAGGCAGCAGATACTCGTACAATGGGTTTTGCATACACACGCGTATCAAGATCGACACTTTCCGGTGACGTAAACCTCTTGTGTATCGCAATTGTTATACAGTTATTATATCCAACTCATGGCTTACCATTTTTTTCCTTTTTTTTCTTATCTAAATCATTTCGTGCTCGACATTTGAGTTGCTTGTAAGTTTTTTCAGTGTATTTTTTTTTACATAACATCGAAGAATCTGAGAAAGATAAAGCATTCTCGTGATAAGAAATTTCGTGCACCGGTGTACATAGGCATAACTTGAGAATAGTTGAGAAGTTATAATACTTAAAGAATACTCGAGATGTTCAATCCGTCCACACGCGTGAGGAGTCATCAACCTTTCATCATTCGACGATCGTATTCGACCTTTGTCTCGCGGAACCCTATCCTCCTACATTTACGATTTTATTTGTAATTGACGCTTTATCTGCAACTGTGTAGTTAGCCAACATTGCCATCGCATCGACTCGATTTCCCGGCGTTATCAGCTGAATTTCTTCTGAATTAACACTTTTCTGCTCTCTGAAAAAAGCGGCATTTTGTGTAATACTATGTAACAAGATAAGGCACGATTTTTAGTGAGTCACAAATTGTACAGGTTTGCATTGTAGCGCTTGTGAAAGCGCTCGCTATCAGTTTAACGAGACAATTGCGGAATATGAGATTCTAGATGCCTCTAGCCGGCTGAAGCGATTAACATTTTCAATTAAGTTCAATCCAGCTTCATCAACTTCCAGAAGATACTGGCTCTCTTTGTACCGACAGTCACTTCCGTGAAAAATCTGAAAATGCAACTCGCGTTAATTCTCGCTAATGAGAGATTCAGGAAAGTTTGTCGATCCAAAAAAATCCTGACAACGTTAAATAAATTATCAATGAAACCACGAACCGATATTTCGCAATCTGTCTATTTTTTTCGTAATATTGCGCAATCAGCGCCTAACGTAAGCTGAAGTGATCCATAAATGTCTTTACTCTGAAAACAGAAGATCACCTCTTCAAATAATTTTTTTTCATCAACAAGGACTATCTTTCGTTTCCTTTTTTATTCATACTTTTGTTCACTTTATTATAGATTTTCCAGTTACTTTAAGCATAGCATGTATATCCACTTCGAATTCACAAATACTTGAATACTCTGATACAATAAACACATTGTACTCTTATCTTTCGAAGATACCGTACTTATATGTATATTGTTCAAGTTAATTAGAGTACTAGTACCTCTTCAGTACCTCTTTTGTTATTATTGTACAGTATGTAAAAAAAGCTGAAATTGTGTGAATATGGAAAAAAAAAATTTCTTTAGTACAGTTCTCAGACGGTGCACCTAACTGCATTCTATATCGACTGTCAAAAAGTATCAGGAAGTCAAGGTCTCCGGTGAGATCGTCTACCTGATTGTCGGTACGTTTGTAAATCCGTGAGACCAACCAGACCGTTGTGTTTCACACGACTAGCCGCTGGCCAAGAAAGGGATTAATGCATTCATTGATCCAAAGGGACGAAGGTTACCCAACTCTTCGCTTTCTTTAGAGTGGACCGCTGCACAATGACCTGCCACCTCTCTTGCAGGTTGTAAGGATTCTTGGTTCCAAGAAGAAGCTTCAAGGACGAAGTTATTACCCCTTAGAAGCGATAATTCAGTAGTGGCTGTACCCAATGAATCAAATAAAATTATTAACAATTATTTTACTCTATGACCCGCAATAAATTTAATAGTTACGAGTGTACCTTAATAAATCTAGTGTTATTTTATTTACAACTTTTTAAAAGAATGAATTCCTCGGACCGATGGGTTAATTTCATTATCAGCCTTCTATTCATTTCACAATGGATTTCTCACTGGAAAATAATTGACCGTTATTTTATTGTATTATTGTTGATTTAATTGAATCATTTCTTATTTAAGATTTATATTTTACTAACTTGGGCTTGCAATTTCCTTTTGTAAATCGGTAATGATGCTCGTCAGGTCTTTCGATTGCTGTGCTTATTTGTATTCGAAACGTAGAAGTCGAAGACACCGTATATCCCATGAGTAGTACGCTTAACTACATAGAAGAGAAACATAGGAAAAATAAACGTTGCTCTATTCGGGCATAATATAAATTGAGAAATTTGTATAAAATTTTAAAAATTTATCTGTCATTTCCACATTCTGTTCGTTCGTTCATACTTTGTAAGTTTCTATGGTTAATTATATAATGGTATATTTCAACGTGGAAAAGAGAAATATCGAAACGCGAGGTTGTTCTAATAAGCGAGTTATATCGAAAATCGATTTCGACATTTCAGTCACGTGACCCACACTATTCGTTGGCGCTAAATAAAGCCTTTGGTGAAAATGGTTCTCGCAATAACAGCCGCGGAATTTCTTGATTGCGGTCGGAAGGAGAAGCACGCGCCGCGACTGGAATGCAATATGCGCCCTCTGGCATTCAATCATCAAGATATTTTCTCGAAGTTTCGGCATTTTTTCCAACCGCTCGCGAAACTCGCCTGACAGTGCAAATATTATTAAATATGTCTGCTATACGTTTTCCTGCTTACTAAGAGAAATCATGTTCAAGAATGAATAGAAAGATATATCACTTACAACATACTCAACAATGTTGTTATAATTAAAACTCGTATGTATTTACAAATGTTACGTTCGTTTTATAAGGAGATATCTTATTCTCAGAAAATTTGATAACGAAAGATTGCAGTAAGTTGAACTTTTAAATAATTTCACGACCTCGATCGACGTGATTTTCCGCTTATTGGAAATTGATAACCCCAGTAATCTACTTTCACGAGCAAACGAAGACAAATGAGATTGTAGGAAGTTGGATACAGTCAGAACAATTTCCCCGGTAGCATTTGAAACAAGTACAGTCCGAATATTGTACATTAAAAATGTTAGGTTATTACTTGAGATTTATATTTAGTTGGAGTGTGTGTTCATATTCGATTCTTTTACTTAAAATCTGTATTTTGGACTCTAAATACACATTGCATACGAATTTGGAAGAAATAACTAATTATATCTTTGTCAATATGGTTTTGTTAATTCAATACTACTTACGTTCCTTTCGTCTTATAGCTTGTCTAATATTTGAACGCAATTTCGAACTGTTATTTACTTCTGCGCATGCGTTTATATTTTAATTTCATATACGAAAAATCTATAGCTATAGAACAAATAAACAATTAATGTGTCACTTTTTTATTCTACTTATACTTTTTTCACGATTAAAAAGTATTACGTTCTTCATTTATTTTATCTTTTAACGAAAAAGTGTGTCTATTACTCCGATACGTATGCGCATGCGCGCCGCAGAAAATCGGCGGCAAAGCAGTGCCATACGAAGTCCTCATCTTTTCGGATCATCTTGATCCTTTTAGTAGAAATTAGTGACGAGAAGGTGAAGGATCATGAAAATGCTTGTGAAACTACCTCAGAACTAAGAATAAGTCCTATAATACTCGATAAATTCTAAATCAAACACAACTAACTATCATAAATGAGAAAACCGTTGTTCGTACAATCGAAAATGTTTGTTAAAATTCACCTGTTGATCTTGCTTGCAATTCTAAGAGAAGGATTATGCTTATCGTGGCACAATCATCATGAAAACAAAGTGGAAATTACGGAGAAAACTAACGTTCATACAGTTCCCCTCGGTTCAGGTGCCACTTTTCATTGGAGGTATATTTCCCAAATAGTGTTAACAAGTAACGTAATAATAAATTATGTAAAATTAAAATTAACGTTAAAAACTGTCTAGAGTCGACTTTATGAGCGAAATGATAATCGCGGAGGTCCATTACATGGGCACGGATAATACTTGGTTCGCCATCGGTTTTTCGAATTACGGAGAATTAAAACCCGCCGATTATTGCGTTCTGTGGACCGACTGGCATCGTCAAATTCAGCTACAAGTATATCTAATCTTGATAAAACACGCCTTTCATAGTTTTTGCTTTATACACTTCGCGTAATATAATTTTAGGATGCGTGGGCGGACGATGATGGAAAATTAAATCTAGACGTGCAACAGGATTGCGACAATTTCGCGTGGAAGAGACGAGGAAACGTAACGAAGTTCACCTTCTCCAGGAAATTCGATACTTGCGACGAAAACGACTATATTATGGAGGTGTGTGAAATGAATCTTTCATTTCATCACTTTGCTGCACTTCACTACGATAAAAAGATATATATAACGATATATATAAAAATTTGTAGAGAGGAACAACGCATTTAGTGTGGTTAAAAGGTTTGGGACCACTGTCGTCTTTAACTGGCTTGCAAGTGTCGGACGCCGAAGCTTCCGGTATGTTCAGAACGGAGTTAATCAGGGTGCTTCATAAAAAGCCAGCATTTCCTTCGAATGCCTGGAAGTTGGAAATGTTGGCTGACCATGTGAAGGTGCCGAACAAGGAAACGACTTATTGGTGTCGCGTACAAAAATTGCCACCCGTTTTGTCTCAGAAGTGAGTCAATTTAATTTTTAAAAAAAGTTATTCTTCGACTCAATGCTCCTGTAAAATATATGCAAAGGAAGATTATAGTGTCCAGATCAATATTCTTGTATAAATTAATATTTTAACGTGACTCTTTAACTCTCACTTGTAATTAATAACTCTTTATTGGGCTAATGTCTCTCAGGCATCATATTCTTCAATTTGGGCCAGTTATACAAACTGGTAACGAACACTTGGTTCATCATATGGAGGTATTCCACTGTGCTGGACCTGTGGATTTTGAAATTCCCATGTACGATGGTCCCTGTGATAGTGCTGATAGACCAGAGAAAACCCAAGTAATCATTAGCTACTTCTTTCTACGACTTTTTATACTCCTTCGTTTGAATTATTCGTTCTCGTTCTATTTTATCTCCTCATTTCTCAGATATGCAAAAAAGTATTGGCAGCATGGGCGATGGGAGCGGACGCTTTCGTTTATCCAGAGGAAGCTGGTCTCTCGATCGGTGGTCAAGATTTTAATCCTTACGTTATGCTGGAGGTTCATTATAACAATCCCGAGCTTCAGGATGGAAATATCGATTCCTCTGGGATACGTTTTATTCTCACCCATAGCCTTCGAAAATACGACGCTGGTGTAATTGAGTTGGGATTAGAGTACACCGATAAAATGGCTATTCCACCGCAACAAGTAGAGCAAATCGTTAAAATAGAATTAAGAAATACATGTTATTTTTGAGATAACATTGAAATCACCGTTGCTATTATTATCGTTGCAGGAAGCATTTACTTTGTCAGGTCATTGTATACAAGAATGCACAGGTGTTGGCCTTCCGCAGCAGGGGATTCATATTTTTGCATCGCAACTTCACACGCATTTAACGGGCGTAAAAGTTCACACTCGACACATTCGAGACGGCGAGGAATTGCCTTTGTTAAACTACGACAACCATTATTCTACTCACTTCCAAGAAATTCGACTTCTACCGAAACCTGTTGTCATTCTACCTGTAAGAATTTAAGTAGAATAGATTTCACGTATTTGAAACACCAAATAAATTCGTGTCCGAATTAATTTGCAGGGAGATTCTTTAATAACAACTTGCACATATAGTACGATGAACAGAGAGAATGTTACTCTTGGTGGATTTGCTATTTCTGACGAAATGTGTGTGAATTATATTCACTATTATCCCAATGCTCGATTAGAGGTACGTCATACGGATGTTTTTTTGGCAAAAAATTGTAGTAAAAAGGAGAATGAATATTTTCTAGGTTTGTAAGAGCGCTGTAAGTGACGATGCTCTGAGAACTTACTTTCGTTACATGAGAGAATGGGAAAATCAACCGACTAGTATCGATAAAGGAATTTCCTCGAATTATCAAAGTATCGAGTGGACGAAGGTTCGCGTGCAGGCACTGCACGATCTATACGAAGCTGCTCCATTAGGTTGTCAATGTTTTTAATCTATTTTTATTTCAACATTTTATCTTTGGTAGTTTTCTCGTTTTATTTTTGTATTTTAATGGTAAATCAGGGATGCAATGCAATGGTTCGGATGGATCTCGACTACCTGGACTATGGGACAACATAGCGGCCACACCAGTAAGGCTACCGTTGTCACCGCCAGCCCGAAATTGTCCAGATTCGTCGTTGAAGCAAGAAATAATAAATTCGATATGAATTTCATTTTCCATTATATAATGCTATCTATTTTCCAAAACATTAATTAAATCAAAATTCGTGTCTATGTGTTGCACATAAGTTTTGACGATTAACGGAACATAAATAAAATGTACTGAAATATAATCCACATAGATTTACAATGGTTTCGATGAACGTTGAATATTGTTATCTGCTTGCGCGGTTACAAATAAAATAATACTTCGTTATATGTTATTTAACAGCTTCTTCGATTTTAACTGTACCATATTACAGTATTCTTTTACGATCATCTCGTTCAATTCCGCCATGTTAGGAGAATACATTACTCTAAAATAAAAACAACAATTCGGGTTACAATACAAGGTGCTTGAACTTAAAAAATATTTCGTGCAATGGGAGACGGAAAGAAGAGAAACTTAACGATTCAAAGAAGAAGAAAAGAAAGAAAAAAAAACAGAATATACCCTCGGGTAACGATAAACACTGTCGATGTAAAAGTTTATAAACCTCCAGTATATTTATGCACTTTAAGGGTTCTTTTTGGCAGTACATCGTTTTGCTGCGAGTAAGCTAGCTTAATTGCATGTTCGTTAACAAATACTTGTTCTATGAAAATGTCGGTGCTTGTAAAATGTGGAATAATAAAAATAACCATAGTTATTATAATAATAGTAATAATTAATCAATTGGTAATAATATTAATAATAATAATAATAATAAATCGTAATAGCGGAAAATTTGTCTTTACACGTTTTACGAATGTACAAAAGAGGGACGCGTCTTAACGCTAAATACGATATAAAAATTAAAGATATCCAATTATTTACGATATAATACACATGGGCGGGTTATACATACATACATACACACGCACGCACACGCTGAAATCACGCACACGATAGTTGCCTTGTTCGCTCTATCAAACCGCAAAGATCACTTCCGGAACAAGTACCTTGGCGTGATTTTTTGTTTTCTTCTCGTTTTTTTTCTTTTTTTTTTGTTTTCGTTTGAAATTTGTTCCTTCTTTTTTTTTTTTTTATTCTTGTCTCATTTAATACTTATGCACGACTCCACTTTTATCGAACACTCGTCAGACTTGTCTTTTGACCTTGATTACAAAGTAGCTCACAAACGTCCTAGCGTGTATATACGCGGGTTTCTATCGAGTATTAAATTTGTACTGCCAAATGTCCTTCTCTTCGTTTCAACCCTTTGAAGCATACGGGCTCGAGAAATGGAGTGTCGATTAATTTTTTTTCAAGATATAGTATACACGAAGATATGAGTCGATTAATTGCATCACGTAATAATAGAAAAATACCATCAAGTAATACTATGATATAGATACTTACTGGATAATAGGAGATAAAATTTATGAAACTGTCTGTTATTCTATTACGTGATACTTCAAAGGGTCGATATAATGGTTCTCTATTGAAAGTATGAGAGAGAATCGTTCTCTTTGGTGCTTAATTAAGCTGTATTTAGACTTTGATTGGAAAAAGAAAGTTTAAAAAATAGCTGCTTACAAATTTTGTGTTAAAATTGTCTCTGTATCTTATTAATAATTTCGCAGAGGAATAATATATACACGTATGTAATAAAATATGGTACTTTAAAATTGTATATATATAAAATATGCTTAATTTCTTTCCTTGTAATCCTGTTTATTTTTTTCTTAAATCCGTTAAATAAATCCTTGAAACGTTGAAATTATTGAAGTTATTATTGGAATTGAACGGCTAAGCAGCTTGAGGAAAAAACACACACGAGTCTAATCACAGCTTAAATGTCGAAAACTTGGTCTTGCAATATTTCGTCATATCCCTTACAAAAATTCGAGAGCGCAGATTTCTTTGAAAATATTTCTATAAAGAATAGAATTGGCGAGGAAACGTGGCTTCCTTAGAAAACATAAATATCATGTGTGGCAAAATGGAATATAGCCAGTATATTTTGCGTACACTAGTGAAAGCTTTGATTCGCACATCTCGAGGAACGTGCTTTCCTGAAACACTTAGGAACGTGATTCTTTCGAATACGTGGACATTCGCGTCGACATATGCGTAAAAAAATTTAGATTCTCTGCTAGGAACACACCCCATTGGAAAAAGTACTTATTTTCTAAAGCGTGGATGCGTAACGACCGGACTTCCATATTTATGTTTCTCTCTCTTTCTCTCTCTTTTTTTCTCATGGGAGGAATTTTTCCTTCAACAGTTTTTTTTTTTTTTTTTGGAAACGTTTTTCACATATGACCACGTGAAAAGAGATCGTGGCTAGGACTTCGCGGGTATATAAGTATAAAATATATATTAAGGAGTTCGACGTACAGTACATGTACCTCGAGTCCACTTTGCTACGTTTACTCGTATGCGTACCAAATACAAGAGGAATTTCATCGATCAGGGTTTCGTCAAAGCCTGTCTACTTATGCGTCTAATTCAGCGTTGTATAAACGATACGTCACAAAACTAATAAAATATATTATAAAAAATTGTTAATTTTACATTACAGCGTGAGTTGCAACGAGCTCAATTTCCAATGAGACTCGCGGAGAGCATCTGACGCTACGATGTATCAACAAGAACCTCTCGACTAGAGTGACTGATTGTTCTGTTGCATATGCATTTGCAAGAAACAGTAAAGAATACCGGCCTGCGCCATCACGTCCACAGTACCCGCGGCCAACGGGTCTCGACTCTTCGCGTCAGATCGCGAATTTGTGCCAGGACGTAGAAGTGTTGGTCCAAACACCGTTGCTAAGTTGTGCAAGGACATTTTATTTTGAGCCTCGTGTTTGTTAACTCGTATCAAATGAGCCAGCAGAAAGTCGATGACCGCTTTGTTCACGGCTGGCAGGCTTTCGTACACTCTTCTTAGAGCAGCACCTTTTGACAAGTCGCCCGTGTGGAAAGCTTCTAAGAATGAAGGGTAAAGAGCATCCGTAAAGAGAGCTTCTGGCATCTCTCGAAGATACAACTTGAGTACACCTGTTACGGAGTGAACGTCAACCTGTAAGTTTAAAGGAAATGGATTCGTATCAATGCAGCATACTCTAAGGATTTTGTAATGTATTGTATAATATAATACAGTACCTCTTTAAGCAATTGTTCTGCTTCGTACGAGTTGCTTTCAAACGATTTTCGCAATTTTGTTAAATCTGAAGCTGAGCCAGAAACGCGATATAACCCCACTTCTCCAACTCCTCTCCTTTCCACCTCCCTAACGCATGCTGTTATGATAAAAGGAACATCACGTTTCTCGCGTCTGTGAAAGAGATGTAAACATGATAATTTTATTGTACATTAAACAAAGATTTATATGAATGTTTACACAAATGTGAACATGAAACGTACTTGCACACTTGTTGAATTTTAGCTCCAAATAGACCTTGAGGTTTCGCAGACGGTACTCGTCTTAATGTCACCTCACTTGGAACGAAACGAAGAGCCACGTCTAAGGTGGCTGAGTCTAAATTTAATGATCTCTCTACTTGATCTGATTGAAGCCAAGATCTGCTTAATCTTTGTATGCATTTACCTCGCAATACAGAACGCGTTCCACATTCTTCGTACAATAAAATTCTAACATTTTGACTTCCTTCCAATTCGACAACAAATGTTTCACCTTTGATGAAAAAGAAAAATTAAAAATAATTTGATAAAAGAAACTTTTTTAACTTTGTAATTATTTTTTACTGAAATAAAACTTTACCCCAAGTTGGAGCTTGACCTCTTGCGACTCGACTTCTTGCACGTTTGAAATAATGTCCGTAACTATCAACTTCAACGATAATGTATAGATCTCCCACTCTATCTAAACCTGGCGGTGTCAAACCAAGTAAAGTCAAATGGAGATCGCCCAGTAATAAACTTTCATCGCGTCCTGATCTTAGTAAATAGCTGCCCATATCTGTTTGAAGATAAGTGCGACAGGCTGTAACCCAAGCCTGCAGTTCGTACATTGATAAAGGTAATGGCCCAGGAGGTTGTCCACCCTGAAAAATGAAAAGAAAAAAAGAAACAAATGTTTACTGTTTATTTTTATTTCATCGAAGTTGCTAAATATAATTTTTTATTCATATTTCTTAATCAATCATCATTACTTGCATCCTCGTGATGAATTTAAATAAAATTCATTATTAAATACTTCTATATTATTTATTTATTCGAAGTCTGTAAATTACGCACCTTTGACTTATCTAGGTACATATGGGAACGCATTACCTGTTGCAATGCCTCCACCGCTTCAACCCATTGAGAACGTTCAAATTCACTGGATAGAAAGAATGTGTACGAATTTTGTACTCGATGCTGACTTTTATGTGCAACGCGTAATACTAAATTTGGAGATGCTAATACTAATTGAGCTTCAAGCTCAGCAAGTTTCTTCCTATTTTTTTCTGAACCTCTACCACCAAGTTTAATTCGTTTTTCATCGTTCCGTTCTTCCCATAAAATCTGGTCACGTACTGTACATGCTTGTGACCTAAATATATAATATTAAGAGTAGAAATAAAATGTTTACATTATAGATTATTTGAAATAAGTAATATATCTTTGTGCATACCTCAAAGCTACAACGTTAGCTGGACTAGTCTCACGTGGTTCAACACCATCTTCTGTCACTACTGCCTCTGCCACTGGTACATACCACTTTAATTCAAATGTAAATTTGTCTCTACCAGAAGCTTTATACTTTGCACAGGCAATAACGTCGTTAAAAAGAAAAAGATGTCTCAACTTCCTATGACCATCGGATAATTCAACCACAAACGAGTTTTTCACTAATCTTCGTTGTGCTCTATCATGACTCTAAAAACAATGTAATTTTACATAATAAAAATGTAACTAAATCTGTAATATGCGTAACTACCATTACACTGTATTTACCGGAAACATTGATTTCGTCTGAATGATGTTGAATTCGTCTAGAAAATTTCTAGTCATAGCAAGAGCTTCTGAAAGCGGTGCATGATCTGCATGATTCACTGGTGTATGCTTAAGAAGATCCTACAATCAATTGAGGCAAAATTATCAATGCGAACAGCGATAAGATAAAACTTACGAAGTATATTTCCACGTCATTTTATCAACTTATCCAATCAACATTTTATTTTATATTTTTATATCTATGGACATCTAACAAATAAAATAAAAATATAAACGGATACTTACATGCAATACTAGTGCATTTTTTTGTACTCGAGCTACTGGTTTATGTAAAAGATCTTCAAGAGATAAACCTGGTCCTTTGGGAAATCCTCTGAGTCTTATATCTCTTGTAATTTCACCGAATTGAGTAGAATGTGCGGAACATCTTCGCACGGTATCAGTAGCACGGGCATAGTTATGTAGAAAAGCTCCGTATAATCTTATGTTGCTGGCCATTACCTTAAAGTTTATAATTCATGATACAACATTAAAATACAATTAATATATCTAACAAAATTAATATATCTGTACATTTAATTCTTACTTTAAATTGTTCACCTATTGCAGTTTTATTGTCCCACTTTTCTAGTTTCTTTCTAAGACCATCCAAAAATGTTTGATGCAACGCGTGTAATTCAGGAATTTTGTAAAACATTGTGCCAAATTCATCTTCAGAAATAACAGGTTGAGATGTTGTTAACGTCGCCCTGATGGCTTTCATATACTGAAAACATATTTTTGCAATAAAAGTAATGACTTTATATATGCTATTTAAGTTGAAACACAGATTACATACTTGCAGCATTACGTTTAGACATTCGACATATATAGTTTCACTTTCTACAACCGAATTTACGATGCATTTAATCATAGATGTTCTGTCATCGTCACGGTCTTTGCTTTTCTCTTGCCGGCGAGGTGTAGTTGGAGTTGGTGATTCTAAGCTACCTTCGCTTAGGCTCAAAGGTTCCGCGTCACTACTGCCTGTTTCATTATCGGTACTAAGAGCGCGCAATAAAATCGTCGGTGCAGGGCTTGCACCCTCTTCATCTTCACTATCCATTGCTGCTCGATGTCTAAACATAAATAAAGATATTAAAAATAAAAGTATTATCAATATAGTTATTTTAAAAATAGTAAAATCTGAATATAAATAACTTACTGAATGAAATAATCAATGTTGACATAGTTACTTTGATTCCCTGGGGAATCTGGCAGAGAGGGTGGTCTCCTTGGTGGTGCCCTACTGCCATTATTGTTTCCAACAGGTGGAACACGAGCATCAATATATACATATTCTCCTGTTTGATCTAAAGCTACAGAATCATAGTAAGGTTCTTCTTCTGATGCCTCTGCATCACCATCTTCTCCATCTTCATTAACTGCATTTTCCAAATCTATTTATTAAGTACAAATGTAAATGAAGTGAATATAATTATTAAAAGAAAATGTAGAGTAAACACAACACCTTTCTCATCTTCCTCTTTAAGAGATTCTTCATTTTTATCTTTTTTTGAACTTCCAGTTACTTCAATTACAGTGACATAATTACTTGGCACATCTGGGTCACTGTTTCTTCTAAGTTCAGGCACTTTATCAGGACTCCTTGGTATCTCACTTTTGGGTCTTTTGCTTGTACTAAGAGTAGAGCTCAACTCAGAAACACACTTGTCTTGAAATTTACTTATATCTTCACGTGCAGGAAGAGGTGGAGCCAATGATTCCACATGCTGAACATTAGATGAGCTTGTAGAATCAGGCAAATTATTTTCTGTTGTTTGACAAGTGTGTTGATTTTGAGATTCTATGGGTAGCTGTTTGTCAGGAGTGGTTGCAGCATTACTATTTGCCAGTTGCTTATGGCGTTCCACATCAGCTAACAACTTTTCTAAATATTCCACATAAAATTCTTCTTTTTCAAGTTCTTCTCTCAAAGCAGTTACCTATGAAAATAAAAAGTTTTTACAATTTTTTTTCATATAAATGCATTAGTAAATGTAAATAATATAAATATATCTTTTTAGTTCATGATAACAAAACTGAGATAAGCAGCAAGTGATGATTCAGTGACAGTAAACCAAATGAGGAAGTTTAATAACAAGAACTGATGTTCTTAGTGTATCAGTCAGCTACATACATTTAATGACTTAATTTCTTTTATAGATATGATATATTTATGAAAAATTTTTAACAATATTATAAAACAAAAAAAATTTCAAATTTAGTTGAAATTAATAGAATACAGACAAATAGCACATTATATTAGAAAATATTAACTAGGCTCAAATACAAATTAAGTTACTTTCTCAGTTAAGTAAGAAATTAATATGATGACTCATGGAATGAAGTTCCCAATGCCTCAGCAAGGAGGAAAGTTTATGTAATAAGAAACTAGAAGTTTATTACACAGATTTCTTGGAAACAGAATTTCTAATCAAAATTTTCAAAAGAAATATGACATAATCTAATTTTAAGGAATAATAAATATCAATATGAAAGTATTATGAACATATAGTATATCTTTAATAATTTATTTTTACCACTACTAAAGAATAAGTATATGCCACATGTTTGTGTAAATAACATGTCATTATTTGCAACATAAAATCGTTTCTAACAAGTTACTTAATTCAAAACATAAGAAACCATGTCCCATAATGTTCCATGTGTTTAATATTCCTAGTTTACAATTGAATAAGGGAAATCACAGTAAACGTTATCAGAGTAAATGAAAATTTTGTTTAACAAATCCTTTGTCGTGGTAATTAGAAGATAAGAAAATGATTCGTGATTGGGTTCTCACCTTCTGTTTATGCTTGACTAGGTTGGCCCTGACGTCCTCTTCCCAGGCCGCCGGCAAGGCGCTGTCCGGGAATCTTTGTACCCAGACACGCTGGAAATCCCCGAAAACGCTCATTACTCCACTCCAGGCCGTTTAAAGGAAGGACTCCCCGGGGACGGTGATGATTTCAAGCACAATTCAGGCCGCTGTGTACATTGCACGGGCGCGGCGGTCGCGGCTCTCACCCGAATTCGCCTGATTACAATCTCGTTTCGAGACAGAGAATCCACTGAGACGGACGTGCCACCGTAACGAGGCATAAATCGTTCGTTCCGTCCGCGAACGATTTTCCTTCTTGGTATACGCTAAACCTGTAGCCAAGAATTAACGAAACGAGCGTCATACGGCCGCTGTCATCTTGTCGACATCTCCTGCGTAGCTCACGATCCGATCCCCATGCCCTCTCCTATCAGTTTGACGCCTCCGCTATACCCGATTCGCGAACACTGCCCTATACACTCTACCCAGCAGGTGCGCTTCACGGATGATGATACTTTTCACGGTGCGCTTACGCAAAATAGAAATTCGTGCTTCTTGCGAAACGCAACTATAATCCTGCTTCTTTTCATTTGACAGATATAAGTTATACCCATCTTGATGATGTAAATCGGTTGCGTTCGATCTTGCCGTTAGATAGCGGTGAATTTTAATTTTAAGCATTTTTCAGGATAGAAACGCGTGTAACGCAACGGTGTATGGCAATAATTTTACATAATTCTCTACAATTGCCGTCGTGCTGATTTCAAGGAATGTGCAGAAATTATTCTCTTTCTTAAAGTAGAAAGAAACTTTAGTTTCATTTAAAAACCTCATTAAAATTTAAACTTGGCAGTAGTAAAAATAATTTTTTTCGTTATATATAAATTTTTTTATTTAATTGTATTTAAAATGCAAAATATATTTCTTGTTTTACTTGATATTTTTTGAATATTTGTATGCTATTTGTTCAAAGATAAGTGAAAACTTAATTTTAAATTTAAGTTAAAAGCAAGATATAAGTGATACTAATTTTTTAGATAATATATTCAAGCATGGGATCGCGATTAATGATGATTATAAATAATTGTTATGCTTGTCAAATACCTTGACCGAGTCATTAATATGCCCTACAATTGTTTCAATTAGGTTCCTCGATCTTTCTATACAATATACATACTAATTCTGCTGAATATATGGCGCTACAGTGCGTGTATTTTAAACTAAAGTCAAACAGCGGGATATTTAAAAAAATAATTTTGCCGAATAATTAATTAATTATATTTACAAAACTATAAATTTAAACGCCAAAATATCTTCATTTATATCGTGTAACAATAACCTACATATAGTTTAATTACAAGAAATGATTAATTAAAGTATTTTTTTTTAACTTACTTTTGTAAGTTACTGTACGGGTGTAGCTGTCAATCTCGTCGGCAGTACAATTTAGAGGTTATGTTTGTTTTAAAAAATTAACGAATTTTCGTTAGTTTTTCTATTTATCTACGAAAATGTCAACTGTGGACGAGAGACAAGAAGGTCCGATACTACAGGAATTATTAAAACATATAAAATCGGAGTCGAAATGTGGCATTTCGTCGTGTTTGGTACGTCTTAAAAACGATTCGAAGTGCTATAAGCAATTCGCCAAAGATGGTGGACTAGGCATTTTAGTAAATTTACTTCACTATCATAATGTGAAAATATTGAACATGACACTGAGTATTCTAGCAAATGCTTGCATGAATCCAGATGCCAGAGAAAAGGTACAAGTTATACATTTCTTAAAATCAATCAATAAATTTCACATGTCAGATAAATAGAATACCTTTTTTAAAAAGTTTGTTTATTCGTAATAAGGCATTATGAACGATTTTAATGTTATATTGTAGGTCAAAGGATCTAAAATAGCAAATCGTGTAGTTTCTATATTAAAGCATATCAAGTTAGGAAATACTCTACACTGCCGTGCTTGTAGACTGATTGGAAATTTATCAGAGTGTGAATGGCATGCAAAATCATTATGTGAAGCTGGAGTCATTCAAGCTTTAGTTGATTGTTTACAATTAGACACAAATATGCAAACTTATTTAATGGGTGTTAGGGCTATAAGGTATTAAAAAAGTAATTTGTACATCAGTGATATTCTTATTCTAGTCAGTATTTTTCATTAATTTATGTATTTCCTTTATAGAAATATTTGGAGAACACATGAAGGTAGTACAGAAGAAATTTTAGAATCTGGAATAATATGTAGAATTACAGGTTTATTAGTATCAGCAAAAGAAAAATCAGAAACAAATACAAAGTATTTGGAATTGATAGAAACCTGTTTAAAAGCTGCATGTGCTTTTTTGGCTACACTAGATCCTCGAGTTGGGGAACAAATGAGAGGAGAAAAAGATATACAAGGCTACAAGTGTATTATCCAATGCTGTGATATGAATAATAAAATTGCAATTAAGTGTCTGTATAATCTTTGCCAAATTGCAGAATGTCGTCCTATTTTGGGAAATTCTGGTGCTATTGAAATTCTTATTGTTCTCATCAAAGACAGATCAGAATTGTCGAAGGAGATATTAGTCAGTTTATGCCTATTTTGTAGAGAAGCTGTGAATCGTGCAAGGGTTCGAATGGGATCTGGCTTAGAATTAATGTTATCCTTATTGAAAGATCCCTCAGATGAAAAATATCATCCTATGCTATTACATGCTCTAGCACAATTTGTTTATGATGACCCAAGCATTGTGATAATGATAAAAAATGGTTTGCTTGATGTTTTAGTTACCAGATTAAAAAAAATGGTAACTGAAACAATAACTAACGACGAGATTATTGTTTCCAAGAAAAGAGGAAGTGATTCTCCCCCTAGCAAACAAAATGAATTAAAATACAATAAGACTAGCTTAGGAAGGTATGTTTAGAACGTTATTTTTTATTTCTTTTTATGCATAACTTAGAATTAAAAATTACATATATTTCTTTTGTAGATTTAGTTCCGATTATTATTGCGACGATTGGAGCCCAGGTAGCGCTGCCAGCGTTTCATCGTCACCTCCTAGTACACCACCCTTACCATTTTATGATTCTATCGAAAACGACGAAAATACCGAGGATAATTACAGTCCAGTTTGTAGTGATACAGAATTTATGGACAACGAAGATGGTAGATTAACTTAAATATTTCAAAACAATCGTTCAAAAATTACTTTCATAAATTTCGCAAACTAAGGCAATCTTCTACTACTTTTTTCAGAACCTCAGACAGAGGTAGAATCATTAAAAAGTTGCAAATCGATAATTATAGATGTAGAAGAATCCCAGAATTCAGAGAGGAGTAGCAAATCGAACGTTTGCGAATATGCAAACGTATGGACATTAGTATTACTGAGTCGACTGAGCCATTCAAATGACCCAATTGATCGATTGGCTGATCCTCCGACCATTGAAGCTTTATCAGCTTACATTAGACACACTAAAAATCCAAGGGCGTCTAGAATCTTAACTAGAATCATAAGGTAAATAAGAAAAAGTTCATCTTACAAATAAGGCTTATATTAATTAATAAGTGTTATTTATGTAGGAACGGAGCGTATTTAATTTCGTTACTAAAACAGGGCTTCGTATTCAAAGCTCAAACATTGTACGGTTCCGAACAATACACAAGACAGTTATGTGCCCTAGCAGAAACCGGTGGAGCAATAGGTGAACTTACGTCTATATTGCTTCGTGGGGAGGATACTCACAAACAAGTTATCGCAGTTTCGATACCATTCCTAATTAAATCACGATACATTCTTAAATCACTGCTAAACAATCACGGCGGTCTTCGATTAATATTTAACGTTCTTTCCGATCAACAACACACTCTTTATGAGAATGCTATTTGGTCGATCTGTCGACTAGCGAATACGCTGGAAATTCAACCTGAGATCATGGAAAAGTGTCAAATTACAGATACAGCTTCGACTGATTTTCCAAGAGTATACGATAATCATCCGAAACCTGCAACAGTGACATTCGAACTAGACGATGGTACGACCGTTGACGCTTGTAGGCAAACGTTATGTCAGAAGTCAGACGCCTTTTCTGCCATGCTCGAGGGAAACTTTTCGGAGTCGGGAAAGAAACGCGTTAAACTACGAAATACGTCAAAGGAAGGTCTTAACACATTGTTATTAGCCGCAAATGGAGCGACATTTGAAACCAGAACCATCGAGTCTTTGTTGGATGCTGTGCTGTTGGCTGACAAATTCCTTATGGCTGACATATCGGATATTCTAACAGAAAGTTCCATCTCTAAGTTGAATTACAAGAATTTCAGCAGGGCTTGGAACTGGGCGAAAGCAAATTCTTGCCATGAACTGAAATCCTGCTGCGTGAAAAGTTTTCTCACAGCCTCGATGACAAGGTCTGAAAGAGTCCAGGCATTTCAGGATTTTTCTACCAGCGGAAACTTTCACGAGTTTCTGGATGATATGAAGGAAATCATTAACAATGTTTTGTGCCAACGTTAACGATGAATTCATTCTTTATGATTGTGATATTTAATAGCGGCGTAACGTAAGCGAATGTTCGATCATTTAGCCGGCATTCCCTAAGTAGGAAGCACTTAATGAAATTTTTATATGATAAGATATTTTATTCATATATGTACTCTAATCATGCTTATTGTGAATATATTTTAAAACATGGAATTGATGTATATTAATGATTATACAATTTGTAGGTGTCGTTTGATTAATGATATACATTTAAATGCTAATAATTGTACATATACATATATAGCGAAAGTATTTGGATTTAGTTTATTCGATATAAATGTATACGGATAAGATATTATTGCTTCGATGAAACAAACGAATAAAAAACGCGAATGATAAAAATGTACTTTCCTGTCTTTGCGTAATATTTCACTTTTCTTTGTTACATCGCTCGCTAATTTCTTTCCGTTAGTTTTAACTGCATCGATTCAGATGGAACAGAAATCAGATGCAAAATTAATTTTACCTTGTCCTTATTTATGCATTCTATCTTGAACGACTTAACTAGCTGCAATTTTTAACGTAAAAATTTGTAAATATATTAATTCTTATATAATACACGTTACTTTTACTTTTTATTGTTTGTATACCTCTGCCAATGCAAGCGATATTTGTATTTCCGCAAGTTTTCGACCGATGCAGCTTCTGGCGCCTAAAGCGAACGGTAGGCTTGCATGTGGATGTATCACTCCTTGATAAGTGCCCTTTTCCGTTCTAATCCATCTTTCCGGAAGGAACTCATTCGGTTGTGAAAAGTTCGCAGTATCACGACCGCTCGAATAAACTGATAACACGAGTAATTCCTATAACAAAATGTCACATACGTTTTTTAATATTTTTCTAGTTGTTCATTGAGATATTTTTTGTGGTTGGCATAGTAATAAATTCATTTACCCCTTTTGGCACAAAGTAATTACCGATCGCGCTATCTTCTGGTAAATATCGAGATATGAATGGAGCTGTAGGATATAATCGAAGCGACTCTTTAATGACGCCTTTTAACAGTGGTTCACGTAATAATTCTTTCTGAGGAATATCCTTTAAGTGTTTATATAATTCCTCTTGCCTCTCGGGATGATTGCACAACAGTAGTAGTATCCATTGCAAAGTAGTCGCTGTCTGAGCATAAAGTATATGGATAAATTTAAACGAAAACGACCTTCCAAGTGTTTATTTCTGAATTTTTCATTTAATATGAATTATTTTAGATTTTAAATTTCATTTCAAATGATCCAAGTTCAAATTTTTCATGAAAATTTCAAAATATAAATCTTTATTTTCCCGATGGAATATTTGCAATTCATTCACCGTATCGCCAGCAGCTAAAATAAAATCGGTTACGATGCAAATCGCATCTTCGTCTCGTATTCCTTCGTCGATCATTTTTTTTAATAGACCGTCGCCACCTAAACGTGTCATTTCCGGTACCAGATTTCGAACGATTTCGAATGCTGTATCAGCGCATTCAACGAATTTCCTCCAAAGTGGTAAACGGAAATTCATCGCCACGTTAGCTGGTATTATGGATAATTTAGCTGAGTATTCGAATATCTTGTGTAAAGTTTCCGCTAATTTCTTGAAATCACGAGACAACTGTTGTCTGTGAGAGGGCCAACACGATCCCATTAATGTCGCCACCATTGCTATTTAACAGAAATTATTTCTCGATTTTTCGTCCATACACCTTTCAATTTCGAAATTATTATTCATTTTTACCTTCTATAGACCATTGATAAAGTTGAACGTGTAAATTTGTTATAATAGAGCCAGTCTTAATTTGCATTTGCCATTTCTCTCGAAGTCCCTCAGCGACCTCTTGACACGGTCCAGCCATTAGATTCGTCGGATCCGGTATCAACATCACTTTATTTAAAATCTTACGAAAGTGTATCCATTCGTCGCCGTTCCTGTCGAGGAACACAAAGATACGTTCTAGAATTAAAATAGAAAGATTCTAATCCACTTCACTCGTAACATGACGTGAATATTTTTCAAAAGAGTAGAAAAAAAAACGGTTAAGGCACTGTACATGAACAATAAACCACGACGACATTTCCGTATCTCGTTGTACAAAGTCCAAGCTTCCGGTATGTAGTGTTTCGGTGCCGGTCCTTCCAGTCGAAAGATTCTACGGAATTCGTGGGGTGAGTTTACGAAAACCGCCGTCACCGGTCCTAGACGTTCCCTGTAAACTGGACCCAACTCTTTGTGCCTTCTGTCGACGTACTCGTGTTGCTTTTTCGGACCGCCGGAAAGTATGAAGGAGAAAAGCGTTCCGAATAAAGGAATTCCTCGCGGTTCAGGTGCCTCCTGTACAATAATATTTTCCGTCGTTGCGGTCGCTGCGGTGCCATAATTTCTCTCGCGCGATTTCTCCGCGATTTCGATCTTCGATCGACAAGCGCCATCTGTAGATTTCGAGATATCGGACAGATCATCGATTCTCGATGCCGGCGACGCACCTGCGTAACCACAACCCGGTACGCAGTATTTCAACGGGGAGACACCGTTGCGAAGGCTTATCGATTTGCCGCTTTTCAAAACATGCGCAACATTCATTCTCGTATTCATCGCGTTAACTGGATAGGCCCTTTATCTTTACGGTTAATGTGAGTACGAACGGCGAATACTGGATACCTGATGAACACTGATTACAAAAAGGTTCGTGTCAAATTTGAAACTTGGTCGTTTTGCAGACGAATCGTTTTTTCTTCTAAACCGACACCCCGACGTGACTTCATCGAAAAGCTAACTGTTTGATACCTCTAAGGGAGCTCCTGTTTTCTTTTTCTGGTGTCATGCTTGATAACATTCGTTTGATTACGGCTTACCGGTGACAGTTCGGTGCGTGATGGTAAAAATCTTTCTCTACGATCGCTGCATGAGAAAAAAGAAAAAAGCAAACGAACCAACCGCCACGGGGTATTCTCTGTATGTACCCGCAACAATTACTGCGGTTTCCGGCTGGCAAACCGGAAGTAGCAGTCACAGTAAAGGGAAGTATTGTATTATGAAAAAATGGAAAATGTTGAAGTTGTACACCGATTGCAGAACACTGGTACACACGTGAAGAAGAAGAAGACGAAGAAGATCGAATACCGTTTACTATGCCGTTATCTAGAAGCCGTTTACCCGTCCGCTGCAGGTTTCCACTTTCTTTCACGAGAAATTCCTTCGCATCGTCATTCACTGCGTTCTTATTTTCCTACCGATTACTGTGGCGTCGAGATTAACATAATTACGAGCAATTAACGTAAATTACTACTCGTAATATTTCACCGGGGTCGCCTTGTTGTTATTTCGATAATTATTCGCAATTATTTCACGCGATACACATTGCGTGTGCTGTTTCAAGTCGATTACCATTCCACGACGTCTCGAGACGCTGCTGGTGCTGGTAAGGCAAACCGAGAACGTGTTGCTGTATCTCGTTTTTTTCTTCAAGTTCTTGTCACTTTTATGCGTGTCAATTGAATTTAATTGAATAATTGAGACGATAATTCTTACGATACGCGATTACGGAAAATTAACAATTTGTTGAGATAACATAGATAGATAAAATTGTCTTGTACTTATTATCTGACGATATTTCTAAGTATGCAACACTAACTGATACTTCGTCTCACTGTTTACAAAATTCACTTTCGCTGTCTTCATAAAAATGATTTTTTTTTTTTCCTTTTCGGAACTTGAATCGTTGTACTCGTAGAACTGTTTCCGTAACTATTTTACTTTCCACGGCTGTTGAGTTTATCGTTTCTTTTTATAGAAATTCGTTGGATAAAATTATAAGAGAACATGTAAACAACGAAATCACAGGAGTGGTTTGAACGGCGCCGTAACTCATTGCTCGACTTTTTTTAATTGTTCGCAAGCTCAGATACTTTCTCACGGTCTGATCGTGGTTATACCGAGTCCATGACGCCCGACCACTGCACACTGTTTAACAGTTTCGAAGATATTTAAATCTCCTGTTGAAACTTCTTACATGGAGTGGGGACCACGTGCGAGATTCCAGGAATAAAGGATTATGAGCTGTATAAAATTTCGTTCAAACGTATGCACCATTATAATGGTATTACATTTATTTTACGAGCAACAACAATTGTTGTGTAATATTCGTTTTTAACGTGTATTGTTTAAAAGTGTGAGAAAAAGAGTTGTATAAATTCTGTACTGTAGCATTTTCATAAGATCTATGAATTAATAGTTTTCTTAACAGAGAAATATTTCACAGAGTGCATTTCAGAAAAGTATCCATTCAATAGTTAATATTTTGAATTAATAATCTATACTAATTGTGATGTCTATAGTTGAACGGCCTTTCTCTTCTAAAAGATATCCAAGAACCTGACTATTGTGGACATTTGACAGTATGTATCACTTTTATCACTTAACATTTCTTTAGACTTGCCGTATTAACTTATGATACATCTAAGAACATAAAAAAATGTGTAATTTGCATAGATAAGGAAAGAAGATACTGTTCTTGCAAAGTTGAATGAAGCCAGAAGACTTTGAACAAGGGGATAGCGTTTATAAATAATGCAGCCGACACCTCCCATCGGGACAGAATATATCTGCTTTTGAATAGCACAGTAAAATCGTCACGCTGTAAAGAATCACCATTGATAAAAACAAGGCGTTTAAAGTTAATCTTATTTTAAACGATGCTCTCGCAACTACCAGCATAGTTTTTATTTGTTATTCGTTACAAAAGAAACTCTACTGGCGCATTTCGTATGCTAGATTCATATCAAAATCTTCTTTCTTTATAATCACGTGTCACGCATTCGATAGAAATTTTCATCGATTAAAATAATCAACGAGTTCGAATACAACTGACGAATCTCAATAATTTTCTACTGAAAATTTTATACGATTTTTTATTGGTGGTACAGGTTTATTTATTACCATTTTTTTCTTCCTTCTTTAACACCGATTCTTGTGTTTTTCTCTTTTTCAAGCTAATCTCTGAAACTGTTTTCGCATCTCTGGAGAAAACCGTGTATTATCCGTGATTATACATTCAAAGGAGAAAGAAGAAACGACACGATGCAGGTGAAGTTTTCCTCGCATTGGGTCAGAAGATCGACGGTGAACGAAATGGAGTGCGACGATTGAATATAAAGGGACATGTTTAACAGGGAATGCAAAGCACTTTTGTCTTCGCAGATCGGTGGAGCTGTCTGGTCAACGACCGTGAAAAAATTCGCGTGTTGAACGACACGACAGGACAGAACGCGGGTTAGATTGGCTGGCTGTATTGTACCGTTCGGAAATGGTGATTCCACCGATAGTTTACATGCATAGTAAACCGACCTATGTTGACCTGTGATGAATACGAACAGTCGAGAAATTCGAGAGCAAGTATTTAAATTAAGAACTGCAAGTCACGATGCTGAAAGCATAGATACATAGCGTGGATAACGCTAAACACTTACGACATCGAATAATTACTGGAAATTTTCTACTAGTAGAATTACGCCTGTCCTTTATTATAATGACTCATTCCAGATTGACAAAATGTACAAAGTGTGTACATTAAGAATAATTAATTTCTTCTAATAATTAATTTTCTAACTTCTTTCGTTAATTTATTCCATTGGTATTAGCTTTTAATTAAAACGGAACGTTAAAACGAATTGAGAATTATTTAACAATGTTACGAAACCCTTAAACGACAGAAGTAAAATGTGTTGTTATATCTAAGGGAAGTAGTAATGGGATGTTATCGTTTGAATTATATAAGTTGTGTAATATTATTTTATCTAGCTTTATTGAGAAATATATCAAATATATTTCGTCTTGCTTAATGATGATATTTATAATTATTTATGACAATTTTTATTCTCAATGTATAAATATAGAATAATTTATTTACCGAGCTTTCAGATATAATTGAATAAATTGATTTAGAAAGAAGAATTACAAATGTTTTATCGTTACGTGTTTAATATTAAAATTTCTTCCTCGTTCTATTGTTTGAAATATATGTTTAATTTAAACGAACTTTATAACTCAAATTTAAATTTCAAATTAAACTAATATTAAATAATGTTGCAAAGTACAATTGTTTTTGTAGTTTTTTTTTTTCATACATTCTTATCATACGTCGAGTTTGAAGATCGCGATAATTTAAAGACGACTTTTAGAGCACTCTGTCGCTAGATGCACGAGGAAGTGCTTGACTATAGGAACACGGCAAACCATAGTGTATCTGAATTTTTAGTGAGTGTTGGCCATTGTCCCTGTTTTTTCTACGATGGATACCGATGTTGAATCCTGTTTAAAAGACTGGAACGACCTAACACAAGATTACAAGGAATTAGAAGTAAGATAATTTTTTGTTAATCCTGGGTACTGATGTTGTCAGAGATTAACACGTTGGACCATTTTCTGTGAGGTTAAGTGTATTTTTTATTTATCCATACTCGAAACCGGCGTATAACAAATTTTCTATGTAATACACTGCTAAATTTAAATATTTTTTTCTCAAACACATCTTTATAAACACCTGAAAGTTCTTCATTCTTTTTTTTTTGTCTATTATTTACTTAGTTTCTTGTGAACAAACAGTATTCCCATATTGTACAAGTAGCTTTAAATACTGTGAAACGTTTAAACAGTGACAATATTTTACTATTGTTAACAGGCAGTGAACAAAGAATATCTCGCAAAGTTAGAGAATATAGGAGAACTTCAATCAAAATGTTTGAAGGGAATTTCTCACCAAAAGTACAGGATGGGTATAATATCAAAATCTCTCAAACAGTAAGTGATTCATTCTAACACACACACACACACACACGAGCTGTACTTTTGTCATCTTGAATAATTGAATATGATGTTTGTGTAACCTCAGGTTAGATGCAAGCGAAGCACGAAAAAGGTTAGACAAAGAAATGACGAAAAGGGAGCAGCAATTACATGAAATGGAACAGATTTTACCAAAGCCAAATGGCATATACCTTCAAATTATTTTAGGCAATGTTAATGTTTCCATATTAAACAAAAGTGATAAGTATGTGTAAATGTTAGTATAGTAGTAATGTTTCTAAACAGAAATTACACTTAATTAATTCATTTATCTTTCAGATTCAAGTATAAAGATGAATATGAAAAGTTTAAATTAGTCCTTTCTGTAATTGGTTTTATTTTATCTGTAGTAAACTTAGTAACCAATATCAGGTAATATATTAGTTTCTTTGTATTAAAACATAAAATGGTCTGTTGAAAACAATTTCTTATGTTAATGTATGTTGTAGAACTCTGGAACTTAGTTTTATGTTCCTTTTAGTCTGGTATTATTGTACATTAACAATAAGGGAAAGTATATTAAAAGTAAATGGTTCAAGAATCAAAGGTTGGTGGAGATTTCATCATTTTCTTTCAACTGTAGTATCAGGTCTTTTATTAGTGTGGCCTAATACAGGGCCATGGTATGCATTTAGACAACAATTTATGTGGTTCAATGTATATATCAGTAAGTTATTATTAAATTCAGACGAATTTTGTAGCAATTTCTTTTTTTGCAACAGAATAAAGTATTTTTTAATTGTAGGTGTGGTACAGTCTCTGCAGTTCTGTTATCAACGAGGTGTTTTATACCGCTTAAAAGCACTAGGTGAAAGACATAATATGGATATTACCATAGAAGGTTTTCATTCGTGGATGTGGCGTGGTCTATCGTTTTTGTTGCCATTCCTATTTGTTGGATACATATTTCAATTGTACAATGCATACGTATTGTACGCGTTAACATTTCATCCAGAAGCTACGTGGCACGTTTCAGTCCTTAGTGGCATGTTCTTGGTACTGTTCCTAGGTAATACAATAACAACTATAATGGTAATTCGTCAGAAACTAAGAGAGCGAGTAAGATATCATTTTCCTGGTGTTTTCGCGTCAAAATCTGAACGTAAGAAAGAAGTAAATGGAGAAAAAGATGTGAAAGCTCAAAAAAGTAAATAAAACATAATTAGTGAGATTTTTTTAGTGAGGCAGGTATGATAAGAAAGAAATGAATGCGATACAAAGTAAACACTCCATTAATGTGGAAAACAAAAATGACAGGGAAAAAAAGGTTAAAATTAAGACAAAAACACAAATAGCGTAGATATATCAATTCTGGATTGAGGAATACAGATTACAACTTATACCAGACATAGATGAACTGTTGTAAAATTCTTTCCTCCATGTATTGACGTCTTTTTACAACCGTCGTCAAGCACAAGATTAATTGACGGGTATTAGCTTGTCCTGATGTAGGAACGAATTCTTCGAAAATATTCCTTTTATATTCCTCTTCTTACCTCGACAAATATTTTGCACTTCTTACCTATACTACCCGATATTTATTATTATAGATACTAACACGATATACTAAAACTATACGTGTTTATTATTAATTTTGTTTTGAATTTTAAATTGAAATAAATGTAATCATATATTTGATAATCTCAGATACGATTCAAACATAATTATGATTTAAAGTTTTATGATTTTAAAGTTTATTAATATATTCAGAAACACTAAACTTATGTAAAAATTTATTAAAAAATGTTTCTATTTTCTAATTTCGAAGTAGGTGATCTTGTAGTAACTTATTTTTTATAGTTGTTGACATGCAAATTTATATTGAAATTGAAATTTAAGTTTCAGAAGTATCAGCGCTGTTTAAACAAATTTTTATTGCCTCATAACATAATTGTATCTCATACTAAAAAATAATTGTATCTTATACTAAAAAAAAAGTGAAACATAACGGTTTCACGTATAAAATTACATTTACATAGTTGTACATACATGTGTGTGTGTATATATATGTACCGTTATGATAATTTGATTAGAATAACGTATATTAACGCACACATCCGTATATTCAGTACTCCCTTTGCTGCTAATAGTCATTATAATTATTATGCATGACACCTCGAAAATTTATGTAATATAAATCTTATTTGTTCTTAATGTATTTATTAAATTATATGTGTAAATAAAAACAATATCACTCGCCTAATATTAAATAAAATAACTTTCCAATAATACGTATGCATATATATATATATGTTTGAGGTCGTTTTTCTACTAGCATGAAAAGGTGTAAAACATTAACAGAATGAAAACAAATCTCTTATACTTAAAAATGTGCAGTATTACAAATCTATATTTTTAAACAATTTGATTAATGTTAACTTGTTATTTTTTTAACGAAGGAGATGGCAAAAAATATTTCAAATTTAATAAAACTTATAGTAATCTACTTCTAAATATTTTAAATTTTCGATCCATTATGAATTAATTTTTGTATTTACTACACCAATGATTTTTTTCTAATTTATATATAACTGATATAATCGTAAATCTGCAATTATTAACTGTTGCATTCCATAAGCATTTGACGTTGCAAGTTATGTTAGCCATTATTACTAGCGTAGATAACGGATACACAAGTAAAAATGTGTAAGTGTACTTATATATGTAGTATTTCTCCTTTAAAGTGGGTACACCACTGGAAAAACGTTAGTCGTAATATGTCGTGTCATACTTTCTCGTGCGTACCTTCTACTATCGACATTCCATAAGTCATCACTAAGAATAATAAAATAATTTTCTTCTAAGTAAAATGCCTGAAAAAATATCTTGGCCATTTGTGGTAGCTATTATTCATCCAAATATCGGAGGCTGGGCTGGAAGCTATATTACTAGGAAAAGTCTTACACCCTGGTATGAGGTAATTGTATCGATTAATTGTTAAACCTGTTCAAATCCAGTGGTGTAACATGACGTCTAACAATTTTAGTCGATAAATTTAACTTACAGAAAAAAATGTTATGAAATAGAATAAACGCATAGAATTTGTGTAGTATATTATTAACATATAACAGTATTAGTAAAAATGTAAATAATTTATATATAATGAAAAATGAAGTATA